GTTTAGTACAAGTCAAACTTTTAATCACAAGATTTTTTTCAAGTAAATTAATTAAATTTGTATTATTAAAACATTTCTTTTCTAACTACTTACAGAATTTTTATTTTTAAGTCCAAATTTTTGATGTAGACGCTCATATCTTCTCTTGAGATGATATCATGACAAAACATCTATCTTCCACTTTATTTCGGGTTTGTTTATTGTACTTATGTTATGTATAATGAACATTTTATATCGTATATGAATTAATAGTAAATTTTTCTATTTTAATGTAAAAATGTTAATCTTTTATCTATGGTACGATTTTAGTTTATTCAATTGGTCATTGTTCCGTTCTATACAGGATGTATGTATTGAATATATTATTCGAGTATTATTTTATTTATATACCTATGACATATGCAATTTATTTAATTTGTACTAGTTTGATTCGCTGTGTCATTGAAACATTCAATCATTATAGTAGTTAACGTGTCATAATTTATGTTTAGTAAAACTGTTAGCTATACTTAATAAACATTTACTTTAATTTGTAACGGATTTCCACAATTATGCACAAGTAATAATTCTAAGAAAGTAAAATTATTAAGATAATATTATACAGCTCAAAGTTTTGTGTAGGTACGTGTTTAAATAAATCATTTAATTAATCAAAGCATTTAATTATTGTTTGTAATTACACTGTGGGAACGAAGTGTACAAAGTATAGGATAGGTAGATTATTAATCCAATATTTACTACATTTTACTTTTAAATGATGTACACAAAAAACTAATACATTTTATTAATCTAAAATTAAATCATTTTATTTTAGAGCTTTATCCTATTATTGGAAAGTATTTTTATAAAAATATTCATCAATAATAAACTTTCTAATCAATATAAATTATTTATGTATATATTTATTTCTTCAATTTGTGTTTTATAAAACATTAATCTTAATCATAAGAAAATGTCTCACCGACATTTGTTATCTTCATCCTATAAATGCATAATATAATAAACTTATACTCTGTAGTTAATGTTGCGCTTCGTTGATTTTAAATTTTATTATTAGAAAATTGTGATTTATCATTTACAGATAAGTGAGTTATAATCACTTTTAAATTTTAATATTCATCCCTATTAAACTTATTTCAAAATTATAATATCGGAAAAAAGTTTCTATTAAACCACTGACAATGTTGTTATCTTTAGGGTTGATAATAACTAATTAGTTTACTTTAATTAACAAAACAAAAAGTGAACTGTTATTCTTACATTTGCCATATATCACACTAACAAGTCTTTCAATACGAGAACAATAAATTGGGTCAAAGTTCTTTTTAAAGATCTTAATTATTTCAATCATTATTCAGAATCGTATTTATAATTAAGAATCGAATAAATATTCACATTATTACATTATTTATTGGCATATTAAATTTAAAACGATTGATTTTAAAACTATAAATTTATCTAGATACTTGATATTGTATTGAGTTTTTTATTTATTCTTTATTTCAATTTTTATTATGTCTCTTTTCGAAAATAATTTTATTTTTAAATCGTATTTTTCCTATACCTATAATCCGTATACTATTAATTAATTAACATTATAATGGTGAAATAGTACATCTTTATAAATATAATTTAACTATATCTATTTTGTATTGTTAATAAAAAAAGTAAAACAAATTTTTCTATTCAAAAAATAGTTGACGTTTGAAAATAGCTTCCGGAATCATTGTTTGATGTAAGATTTTATATTATTTATTGTAGCCCTTTTAGTATATTATTTTATAGTTTTAATAATATCATGATTAAGAAAATGCCACACCCACAGTATTGCCTCTGTCTTACTAACGTAGTACAATATAGCGAATTTGTATTCAGTAGAACTAATTTTACGTCAATAACTTTAATATTAAAATGAATTTACCAATTATATTATCTTATCAAATTTAAAGGTAATGAGTGAGTTATTAGCATTTTAAAAATGTGAAGGTTAATAAAAGCCTACGTGATGCCAAACTTGGTTCTTCTGAAACACATTTTTTTTTTTTATGTTATAAGTTTGTAGGATAAATGTAAGACACGTGCGGGTGTGGCGTTCTCTTAACTGAGAGTTCATACTAACGATTATATACATTTTTTTGGAAAGCTTGATATTTCCTGTAATCAATAAAAAAAAATTATATGTACTAATTACTTATTAGTTATAAATTATAAATTTAAATTTCCATTAAATTTACGTAATTTTAAAATTATTGTATGAATTCATAAACCAATATTTTGTAAAAATGATCTTCGTAAAAAAAAACTTCTATTTATTACAAAGTGCATATTAATTTATTCACTGCATGAATGAATTTTTTAATTTTTATGTGAAACATTATTAAAACACTATTTATTTTTTATCAGGGCGTATATTATTAATAAATTATTTTGAGATAGAGTGAACAATACGTAATTAATTCTAATAAGGATAACTTATAAAATAACAATATATTCTTAATTTATTGATATGCATTAATACTAGTAAATCGAGCTTCCCTTAAAATAATTTTCTCAATATAATATTATAATTAACGTTTTTTTTCAAAATTAATTTTTAATTTTTCAAATACGACGTTGTACATTAGTAAGTACATTGTTCCAATGTTCCATTTTTTGCCTGTGTCAAGGTGATTAAAATAAGATGAGTACTCATAACTCCCAATTCTATAAAGTCCTATATCTCACCTTTCTAGTTTTCAATCAATGTTATAGTGAGATTGAGTTATAAAAGATAAAATAAGAAATTTAAAATGATGATAGCATTTGGTTTCTATCTTTAACAAGCGCTTAACATAACATATTTTCTTTTGGAATTTCATGTTTAGTTTCGTTTGTTGAAAATCGATTGAAATATTAATAAATTTAGAGATAAGACCATGAACATTTTCCTAAAAAGTTTTTTTCAATAATTTAATTTTTAAGTGACTTTAAGTAAACATTTTTTTAACGTTATTTTAAAATATAATAAAATAAAATAAAATATAAAATATAGTAAAAGCAAATTGATAATATGTTTGATTTGATCCAAAAAAAATAATAAAAATAATGTAAATTAAAAGTTTCATAAATTTAATTAGAATATTAAAAACCTATGTAATATACATAGTTATATAATATATGTTATTTTATTTTTAGGTACTTGCTTCACTTCCCTCACATTAGTAAGCACGTATTTGTTAACAATAATAAACAAATTGATACATTTTTACATTTCTTAAAAATATCCCGTAGGCTGTAGGTAGTTTTCTCATATTATATATTTGTAAAATACCAGAGAGATAAAAATTAGCTTTTTTAAATACTATTTAGAATAATTTTTTGATCTTAAACATTATTGTAAAACTATTAAATTCTTAGCTTTGCTCAGAATCTAAAACTGTATTATTGAATATGCAGTTATCTAAAAATGTTATTTAAATTTAACTGATAATATATAATTTTCACCATAATTATTAATTGATTAATAATAATTGAGGCCTATTATTAAAATTTAAATAGATTAAGCTGTGTTGAATTGTAAGACTATTCATATTTAGTTATTATAAGTTGAAATTAGTTATCCTTAAATATACACTTTTATCTATAAAATAAGTGTGACTATATATTTTTAGATCTAAAGTAAAGAATTGAACTTCGAAGAAAACAATTCTTATGATGTGGTATTTTTTATTTTGTTGTTTGGTGTCACAACATGCTCACCAAAATTTTTATGAAAAACGTTTAAATTATTTTATTTTAATTTAGAACTAACAACCCTAAAAAACTTTTTATCATATCAATTATTAGTTAAACTCACATTTTATTGATATAAAATAATTGCCAACTAACTAGTCTCGTTTTTATATTAAGTATAATTTTTTAATTTTGTTTGTTTTACATTTATTATTGTAGTATTTTAAATAGGTATAACCTTAGTATTGTTTGATTTTTTTTTAATCCGTACTACCAAATATTATTTTTATTTAAAAATTGTATTTTAATGAATAGTTGATATAGTGTAACAGTATAAAACTTTATTGTTGTTTTTGATTTACACTATTGAAATTTTATTAGTAAATATTGTTGATTTTTGGTTCAGAATGAAAATAAAATAAAATTTAGGTCGTTCAACAACAACAAAAAAGAAGACTAATTTTCAAAAATTTTGCTGTTAAATAGTTAAAAAAGCAACACTAGGCGGGACATATATTGATATGTTGGAAATATAATCTATACACCAAAAATATTATTTATCCACATACGTTACGCTAAATGTTAGCATTAGGCAATCAAATTTAACACGAATGCATTTTGTACGAGCAATAAATGCATGGGGATAGCTAGTTTTTGATAAATATCAATGTAGTAAGAATATAATGTTCGAATTGGGACATAACATCTCTGATTTTACTTTTGTGATATAAGTGGATCAAAAATTCAACATTTGTTTTTTTTTCCTAATTTTGTAAAATATTTTTTTAACTTTTCCACTATCTTATATTTTTAATAAAAATTAACAAAAATATGAAGACATTTTATTATGACTTAAATATATTTGTGGAAAATATAAAAATGTAATATACCTATTTAAATACTAATATTTTTTTATTTTGTCTATTTTTATCATAGAAGCGAGTCTGAGACTCACTTGCCTAACCTAGCAAGCAACCACTATGATGAGAATCTATTTGATTACTAGTATATGTATAATAAAAGAACATTGTAAATTTCCTTAGAATATTATTTTAAAGTGTTTGTTTTGTTAGTGTTAAGCATTTTAATAGTAAGTATATCTTATAATTAGATACCATACTTCCATAACAGATTTAATGTTAAAACATTAGAACATTTCTATTTGTTGATTTTATTTTAGTGGACCCCTGATTAATTTTTACAGAAGCTTTTTTTGTGTTAAAATGTATTCAATTATATGAAATTAGTATTAATATAGATATACCTAACTGAATATTTATAATTTTCAGGTGGAATAACTGATCAAATCGACAATCAATTCAATAACTATGCATTTATCGAACCAAAATTATTTAATACAAGGCATAAAAGAGAAATTCAATCAACCAAAATAAATCCGGTTAGTTCATATTATACAATATAAATTATATTAATTTATTTGAAATTCTATGAGAATAAAAATACTAATATTAATATTGCTTATTGTTTTGTGTAATTTTTAATAACTGTAATCAATAACTCTATATTTATACATTATATTATATGCACAATTATTTCAAGTAAAACATTTTAAAATATATTGTTCAAATAATTTTAAATGTGACATTTATGTAATTGGGATTCCGCTATTTTAATAATAAAAATGAATATCAATCACATGAATTATGTTCAAATTATCAGTTTTATTTGATAATTCCAATAGTACTATAATGATTGGTTATACTGATTAAAATCCATGATAATTATTGTATGTTTCTTGATTACATACCTATAGTCTATATGTAGTACTGAACATTATAAAATTATTTAAATTCTTTCCAGTATTAGACTATTTAATATTTAGTTAAGCAGACGATATTTGATAAGGAATTTGTAAAGTTTTTTATAAAAACCGACTTATAAATTATATACAATAGTGTCCACTATTCAGACAACCTTTCGTTAAATGAGAATTTTTCATATATCCTAAGTTTATCCAATTGTTCCAATGAATGTTCTTAGGATGATTCATAATTTAATATGTATATTATGCCGCACTTACAAGCTTTTGTTGTGAGGTGATTGGTTTATGGGATTAAAATACAGGCACTAATTACATTACCTCCAATCGACGTACACGAATATAAGATGTATCTAAAAATTAAAGTAATAATACCTATCAGTGAATATTTCGAAATAGTTTTATAATTTACATGTTTCTGTTTGATTAGGTATACTGAATTTTAAAATGTAAGTTCAAAACACATTGAGAACATTTAATTTGTTACTTTTTTACGCAATAATTTATCTGTGGATTTTGATACTTAATACCAATTTGCAACGATGAGTTAGTCGTTGGAAATTACTACACTAAAAGAAAGTACCCATCAAAGGTATCAAATCTACCTAGGTAAATTCAATTTTACATTATGTGACTATATAGCGCTATGGTTTAATTATAGCATGCCTTGTTACTTTAGATATTAATTTATCTATAATATTATTAAAACAATTTTATCTGATATTTATACTTACTTATTTAAAATATTAGTCGGTGATAATAGAGCCTCTTCATTTATTATAATACATCTGCTATTAAAGTTCGCGAGGGCACAAATGATAATATTATTTTTTAAACTTTAAACACTTTCAGTTGTTTATTTGTATGACTTTAAGATAGGTTTTCGATATTATGTAATTGTATCTATACCTAACGTTTATGGGTCTCTTTAAAAACTTTTAAATGAGACTCATAAATTATTGAATAATAATGTTTTAATTCATCAATAACAATAAATGATAAGTAAATTACAATTTGTTGAAATGTAGTATCAACATAAAATATTGATTAAATTAGATATAAATTTGTCGGTAATCGATGTCTACTAAACTTCATATCTAAGAAAATATAGTACTTAAAAATGTTTAAAACTATTTTAATCATAATTCATTTGTACATAACCATGACAATAATATTTAACCAACATAAACAATTTTTCAAATATAATTTGTACATCTCATTTCCATCATACTTTTCTAATAAAATGATAATATTTTAAATGGATTTATTGACCCCTTAAATTTAAATTTTAGTCACAATAAATAAATATGTATTTTCAAAAATGCAAACTTACATTAACATTTTTTTTTTCAATTACAAAACCTATAATATTTTGTATACCTCTACGATTCATGTAATATACGAATATGCCTTTAAAATTAAGTATTAAATAAAATAATAAGTCAAAATTCAAATGAAAATTATTATAAATGTATTATATAACATATAAATACTAAAACAAATAATATCGTATAACATACTAGCATGTTTGCATCAAAAATGGACAAATATCCCGTAAAACCATGTTTTTTTACAAAAGTAGAATTTTGGTTCTAAATTATTAAACTAATGGTTTAAACAAGTTACAATAAGCAACGTTTATTTATTAATTTACCATCGTATAGTTGTAATTTCTTATAAAATTATAGTAAATTCAGAAAAATAAAATATAGTATAAAATAATAATTAAATTAGTAGAATTTAAATTTATTTTTTGCTTCTACTGGGTTTACATTGGACAGGCTTTATTAAAATCTTTTTTTTTCTTTTTTTTTAGTGCTTTTATTTGAAACATTACAGCACAACAATTACAAAGTAGTATAATGTACCATAATAAGATCATAAATGATCTTAAGATTGTAAAATATGCTTTAAAACCTTTGAAATGTTGAAATACGCTTAAATATATACTCTCGAAGAAGTAATAATTTTAATCATCCTTTTATGAAATATATTCTTTATTTACTTATCATACAATTTACTATGATCAGCCATATACTCGTACTTATAAGTAGAGCGCCGTTACGCTTACCTTGAGGCTTGAAGAATCGTCTTTATTATGGCATCGTTCAAGATCTTCTAATCTTCGTTCACATCAAGGACGCTTCTAAATTACTACATTGTTACTAATTCGTTAGGTTCAAAAAATTATCGTCCGTGCGCATCATTATCAATGAATAACGTTCTCTTTTGAAAGTTAATATTTCTTTTTAGACATCATATTAAACTGTCTGATTCATTCTCAATGACATAATGTAGTCAAATATATTTAGGTAAAATAATATTATAATTTATTACAATATTACAATCGATTGTTTAATATAGAGTTGTGCTTCAAAAGCTGTTTACATTTTAAAATTACTCTAAATATGGTCGTGAAATTAAAAATACATAGACAGTTTTTAATAACTTAAAAATAGACTCGCCGGGGTGAACGTATCTGATTTTTGACCAAATTTTGAACACGTATACGAAAAAGTCCTATTTTTTTATTTTTAAGCTTATTGTATTGGGGGGTGGGGGGGTGACACTATGTAGAAAATCAGACATTACTTTCTATTATGTCTGAATATTGATTACTTACTAAATGTCTGTTAACTTTAAAACACAAATCTTGATGTAAATTACAACATGTAATTAATATAATATGTGAACTATTTAATATAGATAAATATCTTTTATGTTTATATATGCCATAAATTTATTTCTGTTCTGCATTTTAATTATATAAGTGAAACAGAACAATTATTATCAGTGATCTTATTTTTTATAGTTTGACAAGATATCTACAGTTTTAATATTACTAAATAAGATTTGTATTCTTATGATATTGTTTTATTATATTTTCTTGTACTTTTGTAGAATGGCCTGGAGCATGCCCATGATATTACATTAACATTTGTTGACAATGGACAAGACTATATTATTGATCTCAGCCTCAATAGGTAAATCAAAATATTATTTAATCTAAACAATAATCTTAATAATAATTATAAAATTAATTTATTTCATAACTTTTTATTATCCACAGAGGACTAATTCCTGTTAATTATTTTGAAAAACATCAGAAAGATGGAGCTCATGTGATAAATAGACCAAAAGCTGATGTAATTTACATTTTCATTATATCATAACAATTTAATCATATTATTTAGTTAATTTACATTTATATTAATAGGAACTTGAATTCTGTAATTATAATGGTAAAATTCGCAATCTACCAAATTCCTGGGCAGCAATTTCTACTTGTGATGGCATAAGGTTATTATAATAATTACTTATAAAATAATCGAATGATTAAATAATTATTAACTTTTCTTTTTACAGGGGAATGTTTTTTGATGAGATTTCATACCATTATATTGAAAATGCTGAACGCGAACCGGGTAATAAGTTTCATATTTTATACAAACATAAAGATTTAAGAGCTAATTTTACTTGTGGTAAGTGATTGTAAAATTGTATTTTGAATTTTTAAGCATAACCTTTTATTTTCAGGATTTCCTAGTACTCCAGAATTTACACCTAATAAAATCATTAAACGTGTAAGTAAATTTATCTTTATTAGTGATAACATACTATGAAATAAGTTCTTATATGTAATATATGATATATATATTTTATATTTTAGAATAAAAGAAACACAAATTCTTTGAAGGGACCATATCATCAAAATGACAAATCTAGATTTATTGAATTAGTACTTGTTGTTGACCAAGAAGAGTATTTGTCGTTTAATAGCGAATTATCTAAAGTTTATCAACATGCTAAAAATATTGCAAATATAATAAATTCTGTAGGTGGTATCTATTCATTAATATTGAGACATTGCATGACATGTTATTGTTATTTTTCAGCTTTATATACCATTGAACATATTCATTACACTTGTTGGAGTAGTTGTATGGACTGAATATAATGAAATTGCATTAGTGTCAAATGGTGACACTACGTTGACTAATTTCTTACACTATCGTCGTGATCATCTTGTCAAAGATCATCCTAATGATAATGCTCAATTACTAACGTACATTTAATACTTTGAAAATCATAAAAAATGATACAATATGTTTTTTAAATTTTGATTTTTTTCTTTCAGAAAAATCCAATTTGAAAATGGTGTCGTTGGTAAAGCTTTAAAAGGACCTATATGTACTTATGAATTTAGTGGTGGTGTAAATAATGACCATAGTATTGTACAGGGCTTGGTAGCATCAACTATAGCTCATGAAATAGGCCACAACTTGGGTATGGAACATGATACAGCTGAGTGTGATTGTCCTAGTGAACGTTGTATTATGGCATCTTCTTCAGGGTATGATGATAGTTAAACTTAAATTTTACATAAACTATACCTATTTAATTTTATATTTTTATTCAGAACCCCAGGTCCAACTCATTGGAGTTTGTGTAGTATGGAATATTTAGCGCTTGCGTTTGAACACGGAATGGACTACTGTTTGAGAAATAAACCTAATAGGTAAAGTTTACTAAACAAAATTTTAATGTTTTTCCAAATTTTCTTTTAAATAATATAAACAGGGTTAATATTTTATCAAACAATACTCATTACATTATTCATTACTCATTATATCTATTAACTTTTTTTGAAAATATTTGTTTTTTACATAATTTCTAGTTGAAATAAAACAATATTTTCAAAATGTTAATAGATATTGAAGTAATGAGTGTTGTTTGATAAAATATCACCCAGTATACTCGTATAATTAAATAATATATTTATTCATATTTTATGCTTTTATTTTTATAGATTATTTGAAAGCCCAGTGTGTGGTAATAGTTTTGTAGAAGAAGGAGAACAGTGTGATTGTGGGGTAAAAGATATGTGTACCAATCCTTGTTGTAATCCTGATACATGTATGTTTTATAAAAATGCCACATGTGCCACTGGAGAATGTTGTGATATAAATGTAAGTGGAAACTGCTTACTTGTAATTTTAATAAATATTCAATATGTAATAGTTAAAATTTAATTTATTTTTTTTAGACTTGCCATTTTAAGTTAGCCGGTGTGGAATGTAGATCGGCTCTACATGAATGTGATTTACCTGAATACTGTACAGGAGATTCAGAGTATTGTCCAGATAACGTGTTTAAATTTGACGGGTCTACTTGTGAAGCAAATAAGGTATGTTTAAAATAGGCTATATTTTAATTTCTAAGGGTAACTAATCATGTTATACATTAGAATATCTAAGATCATCCATCCATCCATTAGGTAAGTCGACCACTAGGACCATGTTGATATACAACCTTGCATCTAGTTTTCCCTATCCGATACTTATTGTATCGTCTTATTGAATCCTCCTCCTAATGCTTCCATACCTTTCCTTACTATAATCTTCCTTCTCAATTGTGATCTTTTTCCATAAGGAATTTTTTCTAGTATTATACATATGACATGCGAATTGATTTGAACTTTTCTATGCATGCTCAACCCATTGTAATGTTTTTGATCCTTATCACTCCTCGTATACTCGTGGAAAAGTGTTTCTAATTATTCATCATTTTTATTCTCCACTCACCACATAGTGAGTTCTTTATAGGTCCAAAAATTTTTTGCACTTTTTTTTCTCTCCAAAACCTAACGGCCATGTCTTAGCTCCATACAAAATTACTGATTGTATTAATTTAATGTATAATTGTATTTTCAAATCTTTTGATAGTGATTATGATCTCAGTAATATTTTTCAAAATTATATAAACATTTATTTCCAACCTAAATTCTTGCTATTATTTCTTTTTCAATTTCATATCTAAGTTAATAAAAAGAATATACTTTTTAATCAAAAATTATACTATTCAATCTTAAAACAATTACATTCCAAAATATTATAAAAATTAAAATTTTTAATACATATCATAATTAATAATTTTATTTCTTTTATAGGCATATTGCTTTAATGGATCTTGTCGAACACATGCAGATCAATGTCGTTTATTATGGGGTCCTACTGGGGAATCATCAGAAAACATGTGTTACTTAGGGAATACTAAGGGTTCACCACAAGGAAACTGTGGTTACAACCGTCTAAACAAGACTTATGTCAAATGTACCCAAAAGTTGGTTAATTTTTTTTACTAATAATTTATTGAAATACTAATTTTTAATTTTGGTTTTAATGTATTATATGCCTATTTTTTCAACTAGAAATATTAAATGTGGCATGTTGCAATGTAAGCATAAAAATGAACGTTTAGAATTTGGTATGGAAACTGTATCCATCATATCGCATACATTTATAGACGTTAATGGATCAATGACACCTTGTAGAACTGCTATTGTGGACTTGGGTTTAAATGATGTTGATCCTGGTTTAACACCAAATGGTGCAAAATGTGGTGAAAATATGGTTTGTATTATAATTGTATAAAATATTATTTTTATATGTATAGAATTATTTATTATTTTAATTTTAAGATGTGTGTAAACCAAGTATGCATGGCTGTAGAAGAATTCAGAGCGCAAAGTAAAAATTGTAAAAATAATTGCAATGGAAATGGAGTGTGCAACAACAAAGGCAATTGTCACTGTAAAATTGGTTATGCACCACCATACTGTGATTATCCTGGTCCTGGAGGAAGTGATGATTCTGGACCAGCATCCAGTCCAAACAGTACTTTAATGTTTTAAAAATTGTATTCATTGTTGGTATTTATTTGTTTTTAATTTCAGCACTCAAAGGATTTATGACTGGAATGTATGTTCTAACATTTGGAGCCATTCCACTCTTGTTAGCTATTTTGTTATTTGCCTATTGTTCGAAGAATCATCGTACACCATCTGACTGGAATAAAACTAATCGCCTAAAGCTATCGTATGTATCTAAATGTTTGCCATTTATCCAACATTTGCAACATTTAGTCATTGATGATGGTGATGGTAATAGTAATGCTTGCACTACAACTACTACTACAACTAGACAGCTACCTAGTATAAATACTGTGTCATCCCTAGTTACGCAATACAACAATGATATTTACTCAGAACCATCTAAGATTAGTAATTTAAATAAAAATATGTCAGAGCCAATTTTAGAAAATACTTTTATCAACAATGCATGTTCTATACCACCACCAAATTACATTGATGCCGTGAAGTCTCGTCTAAGTAAAAGTGATATTATTATTACCAACCTTATGTCTACAACTAATCCTCAAGTGAATAGTTATTTGCAAAATGGTGTATGGGGAAATTCAAAATAATTATTCTTTTAGAGTTAATTATCATTTTTATAGCTTATAGCAACTGTAAAATTGAGATTACTTATACTAAACACAAAATTCTCAGTGATCCGGCTACTTAATAATTTTACACATCTAGTAATCTGCCCCTTTTAATTTTCAATAATAATTAGTCTATGGCTACAGTTATTTATAAATTTGCATGTTTTTTTTTTTTTATTTAAGTTCACTATGATTAATAATACTTATTCTTTGCATATTTTAAAATTTAAACTTAAATTGTCAAAATGTGATTAACTACTAATTAATTTCTAATTTTTGTGTAAAAAATATTTATAACATTAATCATTGGGTATAAAATTTATAAATTTAAATACAACCTCAATAAATTAATTAAATATTTTATCCAAAAAAGGTTAAGCCTAATCTCAACAAACATTTCAAAAAAAAAAAAACTATATATAAAGTTTAAAACCATAATAATATGTATATGTATACTTAATTTAATATAGTTTTTTTCCAATACTTTGGTTCTGTGTGTGCTAGATTACCAAGAATACTGTAATTTCAAAAGACTTAATATTAAGAATAGTATCTAATAAATTAATAAGTATACATTATTTGTATTATCATTTATGATTAATACTTTCATTACAATTGTATTTCTTTTCTGTTAAATTGTTTATAAATTCCTATGATATTTAAACTTTAAAAATTATATTTAGGAAACATTTATATAATTTAAAATACCTGCTATTGTTTAACTAATTAATTCTCGCTTAACATGTAATACACATATGCTTTAGATGTGGATTGCGGATATGTATTTTGCTTTTCTTAACTACTAATGTTTATTAGTATTTACACTTGATGTTATTTTATAAAATGCTTCATTTGTGTTTCTAATTATTAGTCTATGAGATGTTAACATTATCTTATGCACGCTATACAATCATATACATTTTATTCAACTGAACTATTGCTATTGGTCTTACACTTGCTGGTGTTAAATATTCTCAAATTTTCTTTTAACAGCAATGATTCAGAAATTGGTAACAAACCTAATGGTATCGTTTCACCTTCAAGTACATTATTGATAGACAATCAAAAACCGCCTTCACTCCATGCGGACCTAGTAGGTAACTACAAAGGATTTAGCATTAAGCCGTTAGTGCAAAGTGAACAACCAGTCGTCTGTCGGACTCCAATCAGACCGGCACCTTCTGCGCCTGCCACTGTTGGCGTGTTAAACGAAAGAAGTGGTAGATTGCAAATAAGTCAACCGGTGTTGGACGCAACAACGTCGTCTACCGTACACAAGTTAGTGTCTATACCATCTAAACCGGCACCACCAATACCAACTGCCACCAGGCCTACGTCGTTGATAGCCGCGGAAAACAAAAATAGTGGTGTCGGGGGGGGAGGGTATCCAACATTGCGAAGGATTACATCATTCATGAAAAATCAGAAGACCGACGAGAAAAAACACACGATCCCTCGTGCCAATGCCAAGTTCGACAAGGAAGAATTGAAAAAACTGGAAATATCCCACCCAATCCTCCAGAAGGAGATAAACGTACCGTCAGAACCGTTGCCACTGGAGGCAGATCAACACAAAGCGGTCGTGCTCAGAGCTCAGAGCCTGCGCGTCGCTAACCACACTAATCATAAGCCACGCGTACCGAATTTTGGGTCAATGAAGTATAAGCGGCCCACCAGCGTTGCCGCCCCAACGGCGGCGGCGTCCGCCACCATCGCCTGTTCAAGACCCACTTCGCCGCCTCCACCTCGTCCGCCGGCTTTGCAACCAGTTCAGGTCCAAGCTGACTATCAGATACCTCGACCACTGGCGACCGACTGCAGAGGCAACAGTTTGGAGACCGCAAATGTCAGTGGTGAAGAACCGCACTCGGAGAATATCTATTCAGTGATCGACGAGCGACCCGCGGCGGACGTAGACGAGGACGACTCGTGTACATACAAAGTACCCAGATCTTTAGAGAGTTCGTTGCTGGGCGAAATCGTGTCGGCGATACAGGAACGCAATCAGGAGTCCATTTACACCAGTAAACCAACCGTCGATCTTCCTCCGCCACAGCAGCAGCAGCAGCAGACTTACGAAAACTATAAGTCTTTGTCGGCTGGTTCGACCACCAGTTCTGGGTACATGCGCCCCGTGGACGTCAAGTCGCGGGTCGCCTCATATGACCAGCCGGACTTGGTCAAAAACTGTGATGACAACCGATCATTAAACCCTTCGCCAGACGTGCTCGAAGCAAAAAAGCTACCCTCGACGGACAAACCGACCGTACTGTTTCCAAAACCAGTTGTCGGTGTGGCTAATAAGTCGGCGTTAACAGCTACGGTAGGTCTGAAAAAAAAACTTTCGGACGGTAGCCGATACCCATCAAAAGGTGTGGCCGATATTCAAAAGAAATTTGAAAACCGCGGAAATGTACTGAAAAATCCTCCAGTGTCGACTAAACCGACAAACTCTGGGAACAGGTAATGGTGGCCGACATCAGTACAAAGATGTTTTATTATTATTAATTATTTATTTTTTATGGGGTGGACGAAAGACTGCTGTCATGACATCCGCTTTTTTGTATACAATTTTTTACATACACAATGGTGCTTATATTTATCATTTTTATTTAGGAGTTAATTATTACTTGTGTGTAATTATTTCGGTGTACATATGGCATTGTTTTATTATTATTTTTTTTGAACAAAATGACTTATTATTTAAAAAAAACGATGTGATAAATTTTACTCAAAATTAATTTTATTTGTGTTCGAAAAATGTTAGTTCCTTTAAAGAAAATATTGCAAATTTCAATTTTTTGGAGTAATATTATAATACTATTTTCATTTTATAGATATTCTTTAAACTACGCATCAAACTATAATATAATAAATACCTAATTAACCATACATTATTTAACTATGGCTTCATGGCATACAATTTTTATTTATTTTCTCTATTTTTTATTTTACTAGTCATTATGTTTAATACTTTAATGTGAATTTATGTATATTATTTTATGTGTTTTGTGTTCATGTACTATTCATTTTTTTCGTCTATGCTTTTAAAAGCTTTATTACCAGCTAATGATCCATGTATACAACTATAATAATTACAATTGCTAATTGCTAAACAGTATATATTTCTTTTTATTAATATTAAATTCCACGCTGTTAGATTTCTATGAATTTTTTTTGTTGCAAATATACTTCAAAGGAAAATAAAATAAAAGACACTAATGTTATTGACGCCAAAGGCTCATGTTCCTCATAGTCTATTATTATATTATATAATTATTTTATTTATTATTATTAATTGTATTTGTATATATTGTACTTGTATTTTATATTTTTATTTGAAAATAAAATTAAAATTTTATACTAAATTTTTATTAGCATTGATTTTTCATTTTGAATTTATGCTAAAAGTATAAAAATTTAAATTAAAAAGTCAACTTCTAACACTAAAATTATTATAATAAAATGTTATCATTATATTTTTATATAGTAGACTGCATAGTGTATTTACATACATTAAAAAACTATTCATAAGTAGGTACTGTATAAAAACATTCAGATAATATTCTATGAGTGTTACAAATTTTTCCCAGTACAAAAAATTGATGTTCTATATATATTTGAGGTACTTAAATATTTCATTTTTATAACATAAAATAATATGTATAAATAATATTATAGTGTGTAATTGGTAAACACTATGAAAAAATGAGAGGAAAAATATTTTGAAACAAGTCTGGCAAATATATGAAGAATTTTCCTTTATTCTTGCATACCTAAGAGTTATTGGTAATAAAAATAATGAACTTTCAACCAAAATGTTAACTGTTTAATTATAATTTAGATGATTTTAATTGTAAATATGATATCACCTAAAAGTGGAATAAAAGATGTTTGATAAAATGTTAACATTAAAACAAAGTGATAATAAGAAAAAAAATACATACAAAATGGAAAAAAATATAAACTTTAGTGCCTTCTTTAAAATGTAGGTAATATAATATATTCATATTAATAATAAAAATTATGCTTATCTTAAAACGAATCTAAAATAACTATTGATAAAAAAAAAAGGTAAAACGTATCACCGATTATCACAAAATACAAATACAAATTGTATTTTATTCAGACTTATATATTTTTTCTAATATATTATCTATTTTATTTTTAAAAGCTCCAAATGAAAAAATATCATTGAATCTTTTTTTACCATGTTTCCCAAATAATTCAGCTTTTCCTTCAATTTCTATCAACTGTTTTATAGCATCAGCAAAATCTTCAGGTTCAGCATTTCTTAAGTATCCATTATGATTGTTTTCAATAGTTTCTTTGGGTCCACCATTATTAACTGCTACAACAGGTTTGCCACAATACATAGCTTCTAATGGCACAATACCAAAATGTTCATAGGATGGAGTATATACTAAGCATAAGCAATACCTAAGGAGTGATATTTTTACAGTGTCTGATGGTGATTTCAAAAATATAACACGTTCATTGAGTTTCATATTTTGAACAAGATTCACCAACTCATGAAAATATTCAATATTTTCTAAATTCAAAGGATCATAACCTCCGGCCAAGACAAGTTTCATTTTTTTATCAGATAATAAATTAAAACTATGGATTGCCAAATCCAGATTTTTCTTCCTCTCAAATCTATTTATGGATAAAATGAACTTACAATTATCCACATCTATTAAATCTTTCAACTGTATGGTTTCAGTATTATCAAAAAACTCAGTGTTAATGGACGGGTAGACGACTATTGGCACTGTCTTAATACTTTTAAACGTTTTCCTGAAAACATCTAATGTGAAATTACTGTTGACCAAGATCGTGTGAGCACACGCAGTGGTTTTCTCTTCTAACCAGTCCAACGGTAGACGATAATATCGTTTCAAGGTGTCGTCATGTGCAGCTAATAGTTGATCGGGATAGTGGCAGTAGAATAGTACTTTGCACGACATCCAATTTAGTATGGGGATGCAAGCCGATATCTGGTCGACAAACACTACATCCGGATGGATGGAACTTAAAAACGTCAAGTACAACGCGGCGTACACCATACGTACGTAACTGCACAGCGCATAACACTTGCCGAACACCGTTCTAGGTAGCCAGTCGCCGACAACAGTCACTGGCAAAGTACCGTCCCTGGTCTCTTCGAAACAGTGAGAGACACTGTGATGATTGGTGACGAACCTAACGGAATGGCCCGATTGTTTCATCGCCATAGCCGCGTCGACCACCAATCGTTCGGCACCGCCGATGCCCAGATCTGGGTGCAGGAAAACTACGTTTAATTTCATTGTGAAACGTCCTCTTCAAACGAAAACATGTAATTATAAATAGACAAAAGACACGTCACTAACACATGTATTATTATAAAATGTTATAAACCGCCAAACATTTATTCATATAAATATTTAATAATTGCTGCGAAAATCAGAAAATGTGTTACGTTTATTATTTATTATTATTATATTTTATATTTAAGTTGTCTCAAAATCTTAAAATTACAAAAATTCAAATAATTTTTATCACTTATCTACATTTTTTGACATTAACAATAGATAATATCTTTGTTATCTATCTCAGTCCCAGCCCGTCGATTTCATGAACATAATAATATATACTGTAGTTGTTTCTTATATTCTGTGATTATATTACCACTGTTCCGTGATTGTGATACTAATATATGTATAGAAAATCATGGAAACAAATATAATTATCAATGTATAATAACATTATTGACTTATCAAAAACAATAATAATAAATAATAATTAAAAATATTGTTGCTTCTCAAATCCAGGATTTGTATCGAAAAATTTAAAAATTATCATTACATTTTAAGTTGTCTAAACAATTTACAATGTCCTGGCAAATTTGTTAACGATCTTGTTTACCCACATACCAAGTAAGTTTATTGCGGCGTACACGTAAGACATATGACGCAGTTCAAGGACTATTTTAACCCACTTTTCATACTCGTACAATCTTTTGAAGTTGTTTTTTTTTTCTCGATTAAACAGACCAAAATGACTGATGACCTTTCACGTAACGAAGCTGCTCGCCAACGACAAGAACGTTGGGAGCATCATATGCACGGCCTTTGTATACTTGACAATCACTTAAATGTCGAAATGGAAATTGCCTCTCACCGTTCATCTGTACTCAACCATCTTGTCGAGCAAGCCAACAGGGTTAAAGATTTGTGGCTTGAATTTCAACGGAAATCTGATAATGGACGTGTATTAGAAGATACTGCTGTACAAATGGCTATTGAACAACATGGTCTACAGAGCCATAATTTTCATCAGCCACAATTACAAAATAAAACGGTTAGTACCTAAATGATTATCTTAGTAATGTAATTTTTATTCTATTCAATAAATGTTTTCCTTAATTTTAGATTGTATCACAATCTCAAAGTAAACCTCCTGAAATAGATTGTGATGATGTTTTCAATCAAGCTGTATCTGCAGCAATTATCGCAAATGGATTAATAACTACTACATCTACTCAACCAGAAAATTATAACATGTAATAATTTTATGTAAATAAAAATGTATATCATCACTAAGGGACAACATCTTGGAAAGAAAAAAAATATTTCTACATCATTACTTTATACATCTTTTAGAAAAATTTGAAAAATATTAACATAAGAATATTTAATATTTGAAGTCTTAACATGTGATAGAAACGTAGGTACCTTTTTTTTTTTTAAGTATTTATAACTTTTTAAGTCTTCATTTACTTTACCTATTATTTTTAGTGAAATGATTTATTTCATTTTTAAACTGTTTATTTCTCAGACTATTATGTATTTTCTTTGTACAAAGTTTGAACATTACAACATTTTATTATTAAGTTTTTTCTCTTATTTTACAAAATTAATTTAATTTAATCTGCAGACGGTGATGGAAATAATATTTTATATATTTATAAAACAAAAATAAAAACTTGTATTAAAGATGATAAATATATTAGTCCCTATTGTGATTGATATGAATCAATAAAAGGTTTATGTTAACTAAATGTGGTTTGATCCACAATTAATAAAATATATGTCTACAAATATATTTTGTTTTATAGATGTGTACAAATTATAATAATGATTATGTTCATAATACATACATATATTATTATTTTTACATACTATTGTTGTTATTACTTTAAAAACACATTATTAATTATCATAGATTGCTATTCCATTTATATATTATATAATATATTAAAATTACAAAATAATCAATTGTCTAATAAAAATATTAAGTGTTATAGTCAAAATTTTTATTTTTAGAAAAATCAATTTTTCTAGAAAAGTCTTAATTAATACAGTTACTCTTAAAATAAATGTTTTTGTGATTTTTGTTTTTAATTATTATTGTGTTTTATGTTTTTGATAAATATTATATTTAGTTTTTATTTTATAATTAATTTCCTATTTTTATTGTGACAAAAGTTAAAGCTATACATTATTCCTTATTTCTTAATCATATATTATTTTTATTTATTTATCTCAAAACTACTGTATATCTGGTTTATTCTAAAAATTAGTGAAAATAAATGAGTAATTTTGATTAATGTATATTTTAATGTTAATTAATTTAATGATATAACTATTGTAAATAATATTTGAACTGTGTACATAAATCTACTTGCCCATTTGTGACTTTAAAAAAAAATAATACAGTTTACACTTAATTATAACTAATTGAAATTTAAAACCCACCGTTTGACTATTAAACAATATGTACAAGTGTATAAATAAGATTTTCAAAGGTATTTAACTCAACAACTCAAGATAGTTGTTTTAAGAAGTAACTTGTACAATCAAAGCACCATTAAATTTATTTCTCCTTTCAAGGGTTTCAATATCAAAATTGGTTTCTTGTTGTTCAATAAACGTGCTCATTATATTTGTTTTATATGCAAGTACTCCTAAAAGCCGCTTTTGATTACGTTCAATCTAGATTATGCTAAAATTGCAATATTTTGATGAGGATTCAAAATGACTGAAATTTTTAAATAGAACTAGACAAAAATAAAATAATTTGCATTTTTTAACAATTACAAGGTATGAAACCATAGGTAGGTAACCTACACATTGTATCATCGTATTTCGCAGTATTATTTTGCTTATATTTATTATTTTTTTTGCGTAGCATTCTTTATTTGCTTTCGTTAATTAAATAAGTAAATACCTAATTAAAAATCGGTTATTCTTATTTTCAATCATATAGTATTGTTTATTAAACATCTATACCGACTATACCCATCTCACAGTTTTAAGTATTGTTTCAAAGAGGCTAAAAAGCATATCCAATAATTTACTTATTATCATAACATTTATTTATTGTGAGTATATTTATAAATATATCATTCAAAATAACAAAATCACTGAAGCATTGACACAAAACTTTTCCAGTGAACCATCAAATGGTCAAGCTTCGAAAAAAAGTCAATAACACCGAGTTTTAATAACTAAGCGATATTATAATTCAATGCCAATCATCAACAATTATTCAACATTGATAACATCTCGCAATGACGATGATTCAATTGAGCCCAACGTCGTCTCAATGCAATCGATTATGAACGCATCTCCTACAAATAACCAATCACCATCGTTGCAGCAGGTATCTGATAATCCTAAGGAAGAGGACCGTTCAAACGGGATATGACGAACCCTGAGTTAGCGGGTCCACCACTAAGATGTATTTCACTGCCGAACATTGCATTATACACAACGCTTAAGAAAATTGAAGTAGAGTACACCACTACACAAATTTCGGCAGAATTTTCCAGTACCAAAACAAGTGCGGGGACAAAAATGTTTCTGTGCTCTATATTTTGTTGCGCAAAACACAATCGGCAGCATAAAACATTTCTAGAAAAATTTTAGTATCAAAAACTTTTACTAAGGTTGAGTCAATAATTTTTAAACAATTTTTAAAGTTTGCTTAAATTCTAGTTTATGTTTTGTTCATCAGTGTTACAGCGGTTATCAAGAAAATCTATTTGAAATGATATAAAATTGTGAAAACTTCAAAAAATCATAGAAAATAAACGCCTGAATATTTTTCATTTTTTTTTTTTTTTTGCGAACACTTTTGAAAAAATCATATAAACAAAATGGCTATTTTGATTTTTAAAGTTTTTGCGATGTTGTTTGTATAACTTTCTATTCAGTTAATTAACATTTTATGTGTTTAAAACTGAATAATATAAAATAAAATGATGTACCTAATAAGTTTATTATGATAATATATTACTGTTTATATAATTAATACGAATAATGTACGAAAAAAAAATACAAGTTCTTAAAATAGCTTTTAGTAAATTTTGTTTAGAAATTTTAATTGTCTGACTGAGTAAATAAAAAAGAAAATATGATGATTTGTAAATAACGAAGTATTTGCAATAATATATTTTCAACTATAAACACATTTTACAATTTTAACTGATTTTATGTCATAATAATATATTGTAGTAATAAGATACAGTGTACTGTCAATTTTTAAATTGTTGTCATCGCCGGTCAACCAAACAAACGGTATCATAACAAATATTTATACATAAATCTATAATTGAATTAAAAGTTTTTAAGAATAGACTCAAATTGCTGAAATGACTTCATCAAGTGCACGAAATGGTTATCGTCCATCTTCCAGAATTGATCAGCTGGCTAAGCTGTTGGCGCGATTTCGCAAACCGCTTATTCTGTTGAAAGCCGTTTTCCGGGGTAAGCGAAACTATTGCTAGTAAAACTATGACAATAATAATGTAGTATGAATTACGAGTAAATATCCTGGTTAGTGAATAAAAAATACATACTCCTAGGCATCAGCATATTATCTAAATCTGCAATACCTCTAAAACAGATTTTCTTCACTGTACAAATTATTATACTAATAAGTAATAACTAAAATTTAAAATACGTTTTCAATAAACATTTCATTCTCTTTAACATTAATTGCTTTTGAATCCAGGAATATTAAACATTACAGATCAAACAAACATAACAACATTTAAAATAAAAGTACATATTTATTTAATTTATATCATAAACCGTGAAAACTTTTTTCTATGATATAATACGTAATTTTCTATAGGTACCAAAAACTCTTTATGATAGTAAATTATACTAGCCAGAAGATCCGTCGCTTAAAGTTTAGTTTTGCTATTTATTTGTTATTTCCCAAAATATGATCATAAGGATACATTAAAAATATCACAACTTTAAAATGTATACGATTCAACTAAAATTAAACATCACTGGCTCCGAATTTCAATCCAACCGTGGTTATCAGTACGTTCTTACTAAATTTATTTTTGTTATTTTTTATTTCACCCGAGTTTTTTTTAATTTGAGTTCGTCTTTGTGTTATCTACAACGCTGTGTATATATAAATTTATATATAAATTACAAACACATTACAATATCATTTTATCATACATACTTTTTCATAGAAATTGATCATCAGATTCCGTAGTGCAAAAAGGGGCCCCGATTTTCCCGATTAAAAAATTCAAGGTATACATTCACCACCTCAACGAGAAACAACCGAAACTGGTGTATCTCGTACAGCAATTAAGTATGAAACATCGGAAAATATTAAATGATTGGCCAAACACCGACCAATACTTAAAGCGGACGACGATAAAAAAGTGTTTTTCTGTGAAGCCATTGTCACTTATTTACAAGCCATCGCTTCGTATTCATCAACTCTCCAAGCCCCGGATCCACGTGGTGAAGACATGATCATCGTTTCAATTGTTGTTATTGTTATTAGTAATACAAAATAGCCTGTTCTTAAAATATTAAATATCCTTAATATGCAGATTTCATTGATAATAATTAATATTAAATTCACCACATATTAATGCATATCGCGGATGATCTATCGACTAAAAAAATTATTTACTCGCATTCATGGCACATTTGCTAAAATATAGCAACCACAGATCATTGCAAATGCAGCTGTTTAACGTTCAATAAGCGTTTATTTTGTTTCGTTTTTAAAGTTAAATCCCATTTTATTATTAATTTTATTGAAATGACAACTCGTTGTGCAACTAGCTGATGTAAATATCAATGGCGTACTTACAAACTTATTTGGGAGGATAACAGGAGAGAATCTAGAAATTGTCTATGGGGGTAGCATAAACAGCAAAAAAAAAAAGGTCATAATAATTTTAGTCAGCAATTCTAAAGACTGCAGCCCTCACGATTATTTTCTAAGATCGTCCCTGATAAAATTATTTATAAATGTCCAAAATACTCTATCAGATAATCTAATAATACGAGTAAATTGTTTTTACCTCAAACGTCTTTTGCCTATTTTAAAATAAGGAAAATAGCTGTTTAAAAATTTGAAACTATACAAATAATTTATATATATTATTCTACAAAATGGTCTTGAAAAAATTTCAATTACGTATTTTCAGGTTCACGTATTTTATTAATTGCGCATTCGGGAATAAAATATGCATCTACGTAATCCGCCGGGTAACAGATAGTTCACCACAATAAATATATGTTTATTTTAAGTCTAAAAAGTAAATTATAAAACTTCAAAAGAATAGGAAATTAAACTTACGTAAACATAGAACTCTTGGTGAGATTTAGTTGCGTCATATTTAATGTCCAATTACATCGCTACCAAAGGAACAGCTTTCGTCATCTGTCTTAATCGTATTTTGAATTAAAAAAGATATTAAGATATTTAGTTATATTTAGGTATATAGTACAGTACGATTTAATAAATTGTAGGTACGTCTATTTTTTTCTAGATTGAAATTATTACAACAATACAATTGTTAATCGTTTCCGGTGAAGAGCGATGATTGAAGATTGTCATAGATGATAGATATTTTAATATGACAAATCCACAGACCATATATTGCACTATGTTGTAATATCATTATTAATTAGATTTTAAACAATAATAAGTAATAACAATAGCTATACAATTGTAATTTGTAAAATGTTTAATACCTACCATGATATACCTAATATCCATACCAAATACAGTAATTACTAAATACTATACCCAATTTATAAACTGTTTTAAATATATATTTAATTATATGTTAAGTAAAAAACGTTATTAAAATTTGGAAGAATTAAAAACAAATTAAGAACGAATATCTTGTATAATATATAAATAAGTAAACGTTACTGGACTCGTAATATTGGAGCCAGAACATGATATTTTATAGTCAATAAGTTTATATGACATAGATGATACTATACAAAAATTTGTTTCGATTGTAAAAGCTATCAAACAATTTTTAATCAAATACTTACCTACTTTAAAAAACGCTGTATTGCTTTAAATTGCTAGGTAGGTAATAAACATTTATAAGGACTAAAATCCTGAAATATATACAAATTAAAAAAGCAGTTATGATGTAGGATCTCCAACTTTAGAGTATTCATAACCAAAATGTAAAATATAAATACCCTACAATCTTTTTAACCAATCAATTAATACGTTAAATAGATGCACCTTGGTACGTTAGCAATAACTCTCCTTAACCGAAAAGATGTAAACAGGTGAAATGGATTCAAAAATAAACAATGGATTATTTCGTTCAATTTTTTGTTTTTATCAAAAAGAATAAGTAGCGTTATATATTTAATATAAAATTTATTGTTATATTATTATTATTATTAACCGTCTGCAAACGAATTGTAATCATTACAATAACATAATATAATACTTATAACACTATTGTAAAAATATTTATGTACCTATATATAATATTATAAACTCTAATATATGCGTTAGTTAACATTAATTATAAATAATAAGTTATAAGTTAAATGTTAATGTTACAAATTAAACTAAAAAGAACAAATTTTAAAAACAACGCATAAAATGTATAAGGGTACCTAATGTTAGTCGTTATACGCGCGGAAATAAAAAAAATGTAAACGTTCTGTTTAACACGTATGGGGCTATATAGTAATAAAAATGAACGAAAATAGGGAGTAGGGAATTGAATTCCACCTTCTTGAAATATTTTCAATGGAAAAGCATAAAAATTCTAAATTAATTTTAAGTATTTTTTTTTTAATGATTAGTGATAATTATGAACTCTACCCACCCCCTCCACCATAAAAAATTCCTGCAATCCATTATGACACCGATCAACACGTACCTATAATACAATATTATAATTTAATTATTAGCTTTTATAAAATAATCTTCATGTATTAATATTGTATACATACAGATCGGGTAAGTGTTAATCTAAATAATTAATTCCAATTTCAGAATTAAAAACGATATAAGTATTATTTTAATTCAAAATAGCAATTTCGACGATTCAGACTGCGCCCGAAGCTCGTTGGAGTTAAGTTATAATACCTATATGTATTATGACTTATATCTAAGATTTATATCAGTATTAATATTCAGAGCTCGAATTATGTGGATAAGTATACAGGGGTGAAAATACTCTAATAATATATTTTATTAATACGAGGGGACGGTGTACATTCTTTTGCAAAAATATTTTTGAAAATTTTATTATTCAACATTGATATAATATTATTTATATTATGTAACTATTTCAGTCCTTTATTAACTCGGATAAATTTAGTAAATTATGAATTTTATTAATGATAAAAACCATGACTTGAGATCAATGATACATATATAATAGGTAATATGTTCCCAATGATACGAATAAACAGTCTCGAAATCGAGTACTTTCACCATTTGAGGTCAAAATATTGAACGGTCGAGTCTGAGGTTTAACATTTTGTCATGTTAATACATATTCAAATTTAATGTACTCAGTGTATATCGATCGGAGTATATAATATTAACAATTGTGCTAAAAAGTTTATGTCATTTATTGCATATCCCCCCTCCCCCCAGAGAGTTATCTACATTGAGTTAAATCATTGCAATGGACGCCAGTTTTGTTTTCACGTCTCATTTTAGCACCCCCCACTGTTTTATTTTTCGAATTCGAGCACTGATTATTTATTATCAGATTGTTGTCATCGTACGAACGAGACTTGAGGACGGAAATGTTTGTGACCAGAGAGATCGCAGTCTGCGGGGTCGGGCGACGGCGGTCGTCCGTCGTGGCGTTGAAACGGTGGTGGCGGCGGTGGTGGTGGTGGTGCGAGTGATGGTTAGTATTCGTCTCCGTCGTCGCCGTCCGCCGAATCGGTGGCTACCTCCTCATAATCCTTCTCGAGCGCGGCCAGGTCCTCGCGAGCCTCGCTAAACTCGCCCTCTTCCATGCCCTCGCCCACGTACCAGTGGACGAAAGCCCGTTTCGCGTACATCAGGTCGAACTTATGGTCGAGCCGAGCCCAGGCCTCGGCGATGGCCGTCGTATTCGACAGCATGCACACGGCCCGTTGCACCTTGGCCAGATCGCCGCCCGGAACCACCGTCGGCGGTTGGTAGTTGATGCCGACCTTGAACCCGGTCGGGCACCAGTCCACGAACTGAATGGTCCTCTTCGTTTTGATGGTGGCGATGGCCGCGTTCACGTCCTTCGGCACCACGTCGCCCCTGTACAGCATGCAACACGCCATGTACTTGCCGTGCCGTGGATCGCACTTGACCATCTGGTTGGCCGGTTCGAAACAGGCGTTGGTGATTTCGGACACGGTCATCTGTTCGTGGTACGCCTTCTCGGCCGATATTACCGGCGCGTAGGTGGCCAGCGGGAAGTGGATACGCGGATACGGCACCAGATTCGTCTGTAGCAAATCGGATACGTACACGCAATTTGTATTATTATTTGTACATATATTTTTTTTATAATTACCCACTGGAGCTTTACCTTCTCCCTCTCCCCTTTCTATTCAAATGTTTAAGACTTGTTTCAATTTTTTTTTTAAGAAATTTAAAGTTAGATGATGTATATACGTAGCTATCATATTGACCGATTTTCTAAAAAGGTGGTTCCTCGTACTTAAGATGTATGCTATTCATTTTTACTGAATACAGTTTATAATTAACGTTACTCATAATGAAATAGATAAATTCATAATTTGATAACAAATCTATATAAATACAGAAAATTTTTACTAGTGAAAATTACAAAACGTCTTATGAAGTTATCATTATCTATATGATGATATCGTTGGTATTAGTATTAAATATGTGTAGATCACTTGCATTATTTTACTGTTCAATGTTAATTATTATTTATTTATTTTGAACTGATATCGTATAAGTTCAAAAATTAATTTATTTTGAAGAATTCATAAATAATTTAATTTTAAGAGGAAATATTATGAGCACCATAGTTACATTTATAGTCTTTCAAGCCTCACCTATAAAAAATTATAAAAATATTCATCATATTATTTTATTTCATAAATATTTTCCAAAATATCCTTAGAAAAATTTAACTATAAATATAAAATAAAATGTTTTCTTAGTATAATACAATATACAAGTATTGGTAACTAGTAAATATTATTTTAACTAAAATAAATTCAAATTTTTAGGGACAACCAACTGTTTTTATTTTAAAAGTAAATTATAAAAAAAATAACAGAGAACTTGCTTTCGCTGCATATAGTTTAATTGAATATTTTCAATAAATCTTTTAGGTATACAAATAAACCATTAGAATAATTCAGAGTATGGCTAATTTTAACTTAAAATTCCTAATTAAATAAAATTGTAGTCATGTTTTACGATATTTTTAAATTTTTGTAAGAATAATTTCAAAGAGATATTGTTGTATCAATTTTCACACCTTAGGTATTTTAATTGAAAATGAAATGATGTTTTAAATATTAAATAATTGTACATTTTTGGGATTTGAATACATATTACAATTATAGATTGAAATAATAATAATAATTTTGTTATATTATCTACGAGTTATAATGGAATGTTAATATCAGTAATTCGAAAGAAGATTAAATAAATATTACGGTAAACTTAATGAAAACAATTAATTGAATTAGGTTAGTTCTCAGTGCCGTAGCCAAGGGGGGGGCACCGGGGGCACGTGCCCCCCCCCGAAATCCGTAGTATTCTATTATCTTGTACAGAGCCACTACAGACATTTTTATAAATTATATCATTAATATACATATTTATATAATTCAAAGTAAATCCATAATAACGATAAATTATTTGTAATTTCAAATTTGTATTTTGTTTTCAAAAATATCAATTAATATTAAATAGTGATATGCACGAAATATGATTGAAAAACCGGGCCTAAACTGATTAAAGATTTATCTGTGATTGTGGTGATAAAATAAATACCGACCACGATGTAGAGAAGAGAAGGTGATAACACTCGACTTGATTGAAAGAAAAAAAGTGGCTTATTTTTATACTTTAAATTTAAAAATGTTCATAAATTTTGTTTAGTCTTAACTTGCTAGTATGATATATTCATATTTCATATGAATTATGTCAATTATGAAATTTGAACAATATTATTATATTATAAAATTCATTTTCAATGCACCTTAATAGGAAATAATAATTAACGTAACCGGCCTTCGAGTACTGTGGCGGTGCCTGGTGGTATTTGTGTTAACTAAAATAGTGCCGTCGGAAAATAAGCCACTTTTTTCACGGAGTGTTATCAACTAGTGAAAATAGACTTAATGGACTAGCACTACTCAATGTACATAGAGATATAGATTTAGACATAGACTCATTAATTGATGTTTTTGCAAACAAAAAAGAGAGACGTCTAGATTTTAAATTATAAGTAGGTAAGTAGATACAAGATAGTAGATACCTAATATAATTTAAAAAAAATTATGTCTGTAGATAATTTATTTTAAAACTAAGTTGTTATTTTATTTTATCAGTTGGTCATTGTTACTACTTTATTATAATATCAAAGAATAATTTGTTATTTTTAATATTTACATTTTTTTTTAATCTATTTGTTATATTATAAAATAAAGAAATATTTTGTTGAGTTTTTAATCATTTAACATATTTTTTCAGGTTCATCACAATCTCCTTTATTTTTAACTATCCCCTTTCTATCAACTAAGACTAGTTTTATATAATATGTTTTATAAAAGTTAAAAGTTATGAACTTGTATTCTTGTTAGTAAATAGAAATAATATTTCCACAAAAAACAAAATGTTGTGTTTACAAAACATACAATTGATATAATGTTATTAATATACTTATATAGGTATACTAACTAATGCATTAATATATGGTTAACATTTTACAATTACAATATTATTTATACATTGTTATGTTAAATGTATGGGAATCAATGGAACCATAGTTTGTTAATATAATAGTAGTCATAAAAAAAGTATATGTGCAGTAAAAAAACTATTGTTACAAAATTTGAGGTGCCCCCCCCAAAAAAATATTCTGGCTACGGCACTGTTAGTTCTAATAGTCAAAATAAATAACGTTAAGATAGAAGTTAATAGTATTAACAAGTAATAAATTTAACTCTATAAAATTAAAGTTATAATATAGTGAAAAATATTAATTTATAACTGTCTAAGTTTTTATATTTTCACATATAATATAACGAAGGCAGAACTTTAAATTGTTTTCAAGTGTACCTACTTATTATTGCATTTTACTCTTATTTTTGTTTTAAAACTTTTATAATGATAATTGCCATAAATCATTTTTAAATATTTATATATTAAAATAAATTAATCAAATGGAAGGAGGAATCGCTCCCATCGGTCGAAAACCAAAATTATTGCCTTAGATATAGAAAGTAAGTATAATGTGTGTGCTTATATATGAGTGACGAAGTAGGCTTTTTTGAGACCATTGGCTCACGCCAAAAATGGACAAATGGGTAGATAAGTATCGAGAAATAAAACGTTTTTAATAATAATATTCATTCTATCAACTATTAAGTAAAAAAAAAAAAAAAAAATGTAAATTAAAAGTGGTTGATGTGGTCAAACGGTTTTCCTCAACCTTAAAAATTATAAGCACGCTACTGCTTATATCTATCCGTTAACCATAAAGAAGTACATGGATACCTAAGTATAAAACGACGCTTAGATAGTACATCACAAAATATTTTGTTTGAAATCCGAAAAGCAAAAGCGTCAATCGATGATAAAAATAAAAATTGGCAAAACATAATATAATGGATTGCGTATATATAGGTATAACTCACGCACGGGAATAGCCAAATCTTGGAACTCATGATACGTGCATGACGTGCAAGAACTTATTTTAATTACTCTACGAGACTTGAATGCGGTTGGTGTTTTTGTTGAGACAACGTTATTTCAAATTACACGTTCAGAATAATTAATTTAATTATTTTTTTTTTTAATAATATAATAAATTAATCTATTATCAATTTTAAAATTAAGATTATTTTCTAAAGGATTCTTTTTATACTTTATTTTTAAAGGGGTGATTATTATGAATTATAATCGTCGTATGTTTTTGGTAAATTTAAAATGCTTATAACTTTCTACTAAATTATAATATTAAAAAAAAACTTTGGTATAACCCTCTATGGCTTAATTAATATTTTTTACTTTTTAATTTTATGATTGGTACTCTTTATTCACTTTAATGGACTATTCTGAAAGTAAAATTGTCTGTGTTTATCTAACCTATCATAGAAAAGAATAAAAACAGTATTATTGTATACTTCGTATCAACATTTATATTATTAAAACGATAAAACTACGATTTTATACGCAGTAAATACAACAATGGCAAATTTTAAAATTTAATTAAATATTATATAAACTGAACTGGAAATTAATTTGTTTAGGTACCTATATGAACTCTATAATAGTCATGCTGATACCATTGATAAAATATGATCATTTTTTGATTTAAATTATACAATTATTTGAGTAAATTTGTAAATTCATAATATTTTATCGTCTATTTTCAAAAGTTTTGTATTTAGGTATATAATTTCTCACAATAATTAGAACAATTTAAGGTCTAACATGATTTCTATCCAGTTAATATACATTAATTTATATTAAGTCTATGTTTACATGTCCAAGTCCCAAGAAACCTTTACTCATGGTCAGAGATCAAAGAAAAATATTTGTTTAAGGGTGATGAAAAAAATGTATGCACCTACTCTAGATACGATAATAATTAATATATTATAAATAAAAGACAATCTCGGTTTAATTTTAAAATTGTATTAAGGGTATTCATTAATTTTATTATAATTTTTACTTGAAATTCTGTCAGGTCGACGTTCAACGCTCCGTCAAATCTTAGCGACGCCGTAATGGAAGATACGATCTGGCCGATCAATCGGTTCAGGTTGGTATACGTAGGTCGTTCAATGTCCAAGTTTCGGCGGCATATATCATAGATAGCCTCATTATCTACCATGAACGAACAGTCCGAGTGCTCGAGGGTGGTGTGTGTGGTCAATATGGAATTGTACGGCTCTACCACGGCCGTGGACACCTGCGGCGCCGGGTAAATGGAGAACTCCAACTTGCTCTTTTTCCCGTAGTCCACGCTCAGCCGTTCCATGAGTAGTGACGTGAACCCGGAACCGGTACCGCCGCCGAATGAGTGGAATACCAAGAAACCCTGCAGCCCAGTGCATTGATCAGACAGCTTCCGGATCCGGTCCAGCACGATGTCCACAATTTCCTTACCAATCGTGTAGTGGCCACGAGCATAGTTGTTGGCAGCGTCCTCTTTGCCGGTGATCAACTGTTCGGGATGAAATAATTGTCTGTACGTACCGGTACGCACTTCGTCTACAACAACAACATATAGGTGATGATTTGTAAGGATTTATCACATAAATTATATATTTTATGTTATACGTTACGATTCGTTAGTATTTAGTGGAAATTACAGTGCTTGAAGCGAAGAAACTACGGGCTTGTATGTATAAAACAGTAGACATTGTATACAATTTTGGAAGGAGTTTTTAGAAATATTTAGGCACGTGATAAAAATAACAAATAATAATTCCGTTGAAATCAAAAGGTAAATTTTATAAAATATTATAACTGCAAAACTAGCACAATGTTTTATGGATTGGAATATTAAGTAGTGGACAGTAAAATAGATGAAGAGATGAATAAAACAGATATGTGAAAGCTAATTTGGATCTGTAGAGTGACAATGAAAGATAGAATAAGAAATTAATTCATTATGAGTAGTGTAAGTGCCGCACGAATTGCATACCAAATGAAGGGCGGTGGTAAACTCTCCCGATTTTTAAAAATAGTAAACTCTCCCGATGGTAAACTCTCCTGGGTTAATATTATGTTTACCTGAAGTAAATGTGTAAACTCTTCCGGGTTAATATTATGTTTACCTGAAGTAAATGTGTAAACTCTCCCGGGTCAACTTTATAGTGAGTCGTTCCATTCGCATTTAAATTCATATTTCTCAAGTACTCATCCATCTTTATTTATATTTATTAATGCTCTAACGGATTTTCAAATTGAAATATATTTCAATAAATAATTAAATATTTTGTATTTGTAATTTATATTATTATTATTGACTATTTTTAAAAGAAACTTAAATGTATATTGGATTTTTTGAAATTTTATTTTTTATTGTATTTTGACTATAATATCATTTTCATAGGAGCTAAAGACATTAATTTATATTGTTATTATTATTATTATTATATATTATGATTGACTATTTTTAAACGCAACTTAAATGTATATTAAATTTATTTTATGATTTTTACTAGACCCGGGAGAGTTTACATGTTTCCGTTAGGTAGTACAGGAATAAATCCGGGAGAGTTTACACGTTTCCGTCAGGTAGTACTGGAGTAGACCCGGGAGAGTGTACCATCGAGAAAGTTTACAATCGCCCCAAATGAAGGTGAATATAGCATGAAATGGTTCGGTTACATTATGAATAAAGGTAAATCGGATGAAATAAGAGAGACTATGGGCATAAATGTATTAGGAAAAAGATGGAAAGTAAGCCCAAAAAAATGGTTAGATAGATTAGATAACTAAACGATTATCTATTCAAAAAAGTTAGGGTGGAGTATAGGAAAAAATTCCAGAAATCAGTGGATAAATTCATTATTAACAAAAAAAATTAAGGTAGCATGTTTGGAGAATAAATCAAATAATATAAATTTTATATATAAATATATATATATAATTTCTTCTTCTTCATTGGCATTACAACTCTTCAAGAGTTTTTGCCACCACCGACACCGCCTTTCACTCAAAATCCACCAATTTAGAAATACTAAATTGGAGAGAATATATATATAACAGTTATTTAAAAAAAATGAACAACTTTTAGAAATAATGAGTGTCATACGTTTGAAAAATCAACATGGACGATTAAATACTTTGATAATTCAAGTATAAAGATTCATCAAACACAATCTGTTTGTGGAGTACAAATAAATTATTATCTTTATTTTAAAACATATATGGTTATTGACTACAAATTGGTTTATGATGATAGTTTTCAGTACGTTTAATATTATAGGTAGAGAAAAAATTGCTTACCGACAACGGTTGGCTCCAAATCGACAAACACAGCTCTCGGAACGTGTTTTCCAGCTCCGGTCTCACTGAAAAATGTGTTAAAACTATCATCGCCACCGCCAATCGTCTTATCCGATGGCATTTGTCCGTCAGGTTGAATGCCATGTTCCAAGCAATATAACTCCCAACACGCATTACCGATCTGGACACCGGCTTGACCAATATGAACTGATATACATTCACGCTAAAAATAAATATTTACATAATATTAATAATTATTATTATGTCGAACAAAATGTTCAATTCACTACAAGTGAAAATATTAGAATGCAAAAAGTAAATTATTATGTTTTTCTATACTTGATTACTATTTATATAATAACCTGAATTACATTTGGTTAAATTTCGATTATTTTTGGAGTGGGGTATAATTTTTATTATTTATATACATTCTATCTACTCGTATATATGTACTCGATAATGTTTTGATTTCATTAATCTTTTAAATTTCCTAGTATTTAAATTTATTTAGACGTTTTTAAGGAATTGATTTGGATTTAAACAAATACGAATGTACATAACTTCCGTGAATGAAAATTCTTCAGCAAAAAAATAAAAGAAGCAGGAAGTAAATTCAATTGATAATAATAAATTATCGATAAAGATTATGTATAAAAAATGATTGGTAATCAATCATCACTAATCGTATATTGATAGCTGGAGAAATATAAAATCTACGAGTATTTTTTAGAAACAAATAGAAGATTTGAAAAAAAATTATATTTCAGCATTGGTTTTATTAAAACTATGTCTTTTAAATATCAAAAGCGAATAACATTTTGTAAATATTTTTTTCTTTCAATCGACGTAACTTATTTGCTGATTGTAAATTCAGATGAAAATAATATATACTGATTAATATTTTCTATAATATTTGAAAATATTATTATACACACATGCTATTATTATAATTTTTTTAGCCTGTTACATAATTATTCATAATCTTCATTTCACTTTATAATTATCAGAACTCAAGAGTAAGTATTATTATGTATGACTAATTTATGATTGGTAGATAATATTAATAATATTTTTATTCGATTGTAAAATGGTAGATATACAGTATACATCCATAATGTAGTAATAATAATTAACAGTAAACGTAAAATAACTACAGTGCAGTGACAAATTTTGAAAATGTATTAAAGACCTATAATTAAGCTATAAGTCACCGATCATTCCCAGTGTAGGTATACCAGGAAACAGATAGGTGTCTATCGTTATTGCTATCGTCTTTGTACACACGGTATTATTATTTTTATTTTAAATAAGCAAGATAAACAGGTTCGATTTGAAATTTAAAAACCTATGAAAATAAAAATAATAATGATTGAAAATATACGTTTTGTTTTTATCTGAATTGCTTATTTTTCTTAATTATGTTTTTTTTTTTATGATTAAATGGATTTTTTTTCTGCACATGTACCACTATTGACGACGGTGACGCGTTAAACCGTGTCTTTGCATTCTGTATCATTACCCAGTATTATTATTTTTATTTATTTTACTTTTACGTAGTCGTCATTGTCGTCGTCGAGTCGTAAGATGACTAGCGATCCGAAAATGGTTCGACTGAAATCTATGAAAACGAAAGGCAAATGATAATGATATATACAAGAGACGTCGCGGTCGAAGTGAACGGAAGACATAATGTTAACGTAATCCCACCATAACTAAAATGGAAGAACCCAATTGCGAATTACCCTGGAACGCAGGAAACCGTCATACGACACACAGTGCCTATATATATATATTTAATACAAATCTAATATCGTAATCAAACTACCGTCTACCGGACGGGAGCGGCAACAAAATTAGGTATAAATTGGTGTATGTGGGTATATTCTCTCTCTCCATCGGATATGATGAAAAAAATATGATAATATATAAGGACAACGGTGATAATAAAAATGAGAAACGACAGAAATCTCTAATGGAAACAATTACCATAATTATAATATTATTGTTAAATGGGTATTGTCAGACATATTATACTATAATAGGGCATTTATATTATAGGTATGTATAATATATAATATAAATGTATGTACGAATGAGGCATAATATACCGGACGATATAGGCGTTGGGCTAGGTGGATAATTACATGGAGGCCACCGTCTTACTTCTAAGAATTAAGACGTGATCGTGATGATAAAAATAATAAATATTACATATGGAGTTGTATAGAAGCATTTTTATGCGACAAATCCTTGCATAAACTTAAGATACGCTGTTTTGATTAATATTTTAACACGACCGTTTTGGATGAGCGAATAAAATATTATATTAAAATTTTTTTTTAATTCTACTATCTATATTCGAACACTTGATAACAATATATAAATATTATGGGAAGAATTTTGGTAATTTTTTTTTTTTGTGGAGTGGGAACAATGAGAGCTACTATTTCTAAAATAAATTGTCTCTTCATAATGATATTTATTCTGAATATTCTTTATTCTGCAGTAGTGCAGCATAACAGTAGTAAAAAAATGAGTGTATACCGATTCCATCAGATATTGATTTCGCCAATTACATTTAAACAATAGTTAATATTAACTACTTATCAATTTTTACAAAGCCTCAAGTTTAAAATTATATGAAATTTAAAAATGTTGACCATATAGTTGATTAGTTTTCAAATGTATACATAATATAAATCTATAAATCATTACGTTAAATAAAATGCTTCTATATTAAAAATATTATAACTTATTTATTTGGCCCTAAAGCCATTTAAAGCTTAAATAAATAAATGTATCATTTGAATCACGATATAGACTATTGACTATTATAATCTAGAATTCCGGGTACCAATAGTTAACGGAACTCATTATACTAATACAATAATACATTATAATATTATATATTAATAAATAAATTATTTTAATAAAAATTCAGAGAAATATTAAAGCAATCTAATATGCTGATGGCTAATTTTTACCGTTTTTATAAATTTAAGACTCTGTGGAGTCGATAAAGGTAAAGAGTATGAATAGTTAATAGGTATTTTTTCCGAAATATGATATTTCAACGGAGTCAATAAAATACACATGCACAATTAATTTTTTTTTTTATAAAAAAATTAATTTAAGATAAATGCCCAACATACCGTAACATAGCAATCACACAGCTAGTGACGTATTCTTTTTTTCAACCGTCTTAGTAAATGCCTTCTAATACACACGCATAATTGTTATTATTAACCTAATAACCTCGATACATCATGATATCTCGTAAATCATAATAAATATTATGTGGTTACCTACATTCTATTTACACTTCTCAATTTTCTTCTAGGTACTGTTTTATTAATTGCCTTGACACTAACCCTGAAAAAAGCCTAATAAACTTTATGTCCCTAAATATAGTCTATAGACAACACCCTATATTATGTCATTTTCATCAGTAGGTACACTCCCAATTCATTTTATAGAGGAGAATTTATTGTCATCGATATAATTTCAATTAAAATACTTCTTAGTTTATAAAATTAAAGTGTATAACTAAAAATATTTCACACAATATGTGCCCATTTCCTAAATATAATATATTATATATGCATATTATATATCATGTAATCGGGTAATTCAATAATATAAAGCCATTCTAAATAATTTAATGAAAATAAAGAATATCATGTATATTACTATATTACTATTCTGTTTTTTATTTTTGCATTATAAACCTATTTATAAATATGCTTAAGTGAATTTAAAAATATTGCAATGAAAATGGAAAATAATAAAATAATCAGATTACCTTCATTAATTAGAAGTTATAATAAATAACAAGGTACTTGAATACTTATTACTTGATACAGTGACGGCTATCTAGAAAAATTTTACAGGCAATCATTTAAAAATCTAGTAGGTACCCCTTCCAGTATTATGGGTAACCTAAAAAATATTCATTTCATAAAAAAATTTTAATCTACCGACATTTAAAGTGGTTTTTAATTTTTTTAGAATTTATCTTATAAAAACTTTTGGACTTTTAAATGCATTCAATTCACACATATTATGTACTAAATCTAAGTATGAGTGAATACATTTTATTATTCACTATTATATCTATTACTCTCATTCCTTAGCTTTAAATACCAGTTTATTAAAAAAATAAGAGTCTTGTGAGTTGATAATAGGGTCTAGATTTCCGAGATCTAATGGTTCCAACCCATCCATTTCAATTATGAAAGAGATGCTTGAGCACCTTTTTAGGTATGTGATAGTTGTCACTGATATTATAGTAATTAGTTGATGGTTGATAATCATATTATAAGATAATTTTGGATATTATATGATATTGCTACCTATTTAGAGAAACACTAATACTTTATGTTAGACAGAATTTCAATTTAATTTAAATAATATACCTTAGGTAGGTATTTGAATAAACGTATCTTGATAAATTGATTAAGTACTCGTTTTGTTTAAAATATTGTATGACAAAATTAACATAATTTCTGTTAAGCAATAACCTAATAAATAATAATCATTATAAATGTATTAAATTTCAACTGTATTTTTAATTTTAATATTTACAAAACCTTATAAGTATTCTAAAACATTTAATACTTGCTTATTGTTTACTATTTTTCTTTTGATAATCAATTGATAATTACTCATTATGATAAGTAGTAAGTACTCATTGAACTGACATTGTGATATTTGATTACCAATGAACAAATATAAACACATTTTTTAATGCATCTGACCTATTTTTAAATTCTTCCTCACTCTTTAAAACTAAATTGCAATTTCTTTATTTAAGGCTAAATAAATACAAATTATACGGATATTATATAACAATATTAAAAAAAATTATTATGGAGTATTAAAATGTTGCTATTTTAATTTTCAATGCTATAAATAAATGTATTTTCATTTTCATATACATATAATTAATTTTAGAGCTTATCAGAAAACTGCCACTATCCTACCTAATAAAATACAATATTATACCTTACCAAACCTAATTAAATCTAAAAATAATTTTTATCATAATTTTACTGTATTTTTATTATTTTAGTCCAATAATAAAATTTGTTTTTTATGAAAGATGTTCAAATTTTTTAATATAATAATATTTTTGCAAGTTAACACATTTAATTTTTAATGTATTAGGTAATAATGATTCTTTAGGGTTTAATCGGAAATATTAGTTAATTTAATTATGTAATTCATGCTATTAAAATAATTTGAATAATATTTTTAACTATAACGACAATATATTATTCTTCACTCTTAACCTTAAAATATAATCAATAATCTTTATATAATCCGAAATCAATCATAAAAAAGTTTTTATGGAGGAGTTTTAAATTATTTTTAAATAAAAAAAAATATAAAAAAACTCTTTTTTTTATAAAACGCATAGGTATTACATAAAATGTCATAATTGAGAAACACTTTTAATTCTATATGTTTGTACCTAGTTAAAAATATAATTAATACTACTCAACTCCAAAGTATTACAACTAAAAAAAAATACATTAAGTAATATGTACCAATATAATTTTATATTCCATTGTAAATATTTTATGAATTATATATAATATTATTCACACTATTATTTCTGTCACCTGTCAGCTATCATATTATATATTATTAAGACCTAACATACGTATTTGTAATCCTCATCACTGCTGTATTTCTTTTTTAAAGCCCGATATAACGGGATTGTTTTCATCTATTATATACTTTCGATCTTAAAAGTACGTATTATCATGTATATAGCATAAAACTCCTGTTGAAACCCAATATACGAGTATTTTAAATTTTAATACTGCAATACATGGTAGATGAAAAAAAATATTTCACACCCATTATGCTTTTGTGTGGCTTATCGTAGATGAATAAGCAACTTTTTTTTATTTGTTGTTTTTGCATTTTAATGAAACCTAATATACATATAACTATTTTATTGTTGCGAAACAAATCATGTCTGTTTAAATTACTATCACACAATAACGCAAATGACTTTGGATCACTCATATTAAGTATAGTTGAATTGGATGAATAAGAAGATAGGTACCTAACCTATTATAAGTGATTTTAATAATTTATTATTCATATCGTTTATCGATACACACGCCACTATTTTGAGGTATTTGTGTATCAAAAATCTTAAACAGTCAATTGTCATAATATATAACATAAAACTCGTAATAGTGTAACACAATTTCTCAAATTATATTCTACACATTTTATTTACATATATACTCAATATCTACTAAACATAGACATTCGAATGCGATCGTCAAAAAAAGAATACACTAAGCTACTGAGCTATTTTTTATTACAGCCCATTAATTCTCTGTAAAAAGTACTCTTATCTTTTATTATTTTTCCTATACAACTATTTATGAAATATTATTATAATATATAATCACTCGTCAAACTTTAAATATTTAGGCCCATCACTTATAAATAAAAACTACTGAGTATTGGAAAAAAATAATTACTTATTTATTATTCCATTGACTATAGACTATAGTATAGACCATTGACAACTAATAAAATTTTTTATGTTGATAGCGTGATAGATTTGTATTATGAAATTGTGAATTATTAAATATTTAAATATTTATGTTTACCAAGGTACTTATTAAACATTTTATTGAGTATTTTTATACTAATATTATATATAAATACAATGATTATTATAATTATTTTATAGTTAAGTGTAATATCTAAATATTATATATATATATATACACCCATTTTATAAGTTGTCTTTTTGTCTTTATATAAAATAAAAACTAAACCAAAAATAAGTCGTAGTAAAAGAAAAGAGAATTCTTTTTTAAGGTTACACCCATAATCATGAAACAAAAAATACTGTTTTATTTGATTACATCCTAATTTGTTAACCACAAAAATATTTGTGTCACGCAAAGCAATTTTCACTTAAATACAATATTATTTTGATTCTCATTATAGGTTTACTTTTAGTTAAAGGTTTTCTTCTTTAAACAAAACTATTAAATATGTATACATTTATATCTACCATATATATATATATATATATATTGTTTTTACAAGAAAAAAAATAAAAAAGATATTAATATTTCATAATTTTTAAATTATTTCCCATCAAAAAATAAATTTTATGATTTAAAACAAAAAAATTTGCTTATCAAAATTGAATACCAAGTTTTTAAAATATATATAAAATTTAGAAATGGAATATTTTTAAATCTACATTCCTTATATTTATTAAATAATATAAGTAATTAATGTAAAAGTTAAAACTTGCACTTTACTGTTCTAGTTCTACACTTATATGCCAGAAATTATCAATCAAATTAATAAGTACCTATATAAATATTTCGACTACAATATATTTTTAATAATGTTGAAGTATATTCACTTTTCTTGAATTGTTGAAGATATTCATACTTCTTGGTGTAAATATTTATGCTCTGATTTAAGATTATATTAATTTTTTTACATTTACTTAGATCTCAGACAACATATTTTAATATTAAAGATTAAACAATTTTTTGTTGTAGAGATGAAGTAGAAATAGATAGTAAAATAAATAAAATAATTTAAACATTATTGTATACGATAAAATTGAAATCACACATAATGAAATATATTATATCAAATATTAATTATGCCTATATAATATATGAAAAAATGTTCACGTATAACTAAGCCTTTTATTTTATATTGTTTGGAAGTTAGTTGAACTAATGAAAAACTTGATTTTTTAGAATTTTATCATCATTATAGAATATAATAACGAACTTTTTTTTGATCTATTGGAATTTGTTTTATATATTTAATTTCAATAACATTGGTATACTCCGAATTTAAACAATATTTTCTAAGATAGTTTAACTCTTAACCGAAAACCTTTCATAATTTTACATGTTCCCACGACATCTATAGAATGTATAAATCTTTTAGATTTAATGTGATGTGATGGTGTATACACTCAATACGCTCACGGTGTCCACCGCAATTATTAGCGATTTGTTACACATGCACATGTATGTGTACCTATATGACAAGCTGTTAATATAATGTGTAGCGACTGTCATCAACATAAAATATGTATATGTATTATACCTTTTCTATGGGGTTCGTTCACTCGTGTAGAATCAATGATTTTTACTTAAGTTTGGAGAAAATATTATGTAAGAAATTTATTATGTATACGTGTTTTATTTTACTCTCCTTCATCTGCAGTATTCATAAAAATGGATTTACAGAAACAACGAATCGAAAAGGAAGTGAAAACCGCAGATGTGCAGCGTTAAATGTATATATTGTGTATGTACGTATAATACATAATATTGTCCATTGCAGACGACGAACGGTCAAATCGATTAGCGACGGTTTTAGTGTAAGACGTAACCGTCGTCCCGGGAAATGACAATTTTCCTAAATGGAAAGCGCGCGATAAAAAAGACGAAGAAAATCGTGACTAATGTCGTCGAACGTTCCGGAACGTCGGCGACGCAACGATTCAAAAGTCTGTTCGATAAAATTTGAACGACAAGAAAAACAAAAATAATAATAATTATAATACTAATAAAAAATAAATAATAAAAAAACAATAAAAAACTCTAATATCCGCTTACCATTTTCGTCGGATATCTACAGCGGTTTTGATCTCAACAGTAAACACTGTGTATATGAGTTTTCGGCAACGTTTGAAGTTGTTTCGTATGGGCTTAATGAAAGACACTGAGACACTTCACTTATCGTGCTCACCTTCTTATATAGACGCGACCGCCGCCGCTACCGCTGTACACGAGGACTGCAATACGGGTATGCGTCTTGGTCGGTTGCACCCGCGAGTCAGCGGCCCCTTCCACCGCCCTCAAATGAATATACCTAATGATGAAAAAAAACAACAAAAAACACGAATTGGACGTTTAATATGTGCACTATTAAACCATGTATGTAAATAATAATATAATTTTTGTATATATATATGTGTGTGTATCTACCCACTATTAATCCATTGATAGGGTTGCTTGCATCACTTGCGGGTCCTGCAGTCGTCGGCCGATTACCACAAATGGATTTTATCGAGGTCGGTCCACGAACGATTTACATGAAAAAAAATTATACTTACTTGTGTTATTTGCATTTTTATGAGCCTGCACTTGATTTTAAGATGAAAGGTATGTAGGTATAAGGTATATCCAAAATACGACTACATCAACGCACTACGCCTTATCGTTATCCCACACAGGACGCAGTTTATATTATTACAAAATAAATTATTTCCTTTGTATTAATCGTTTTATGTTTGTCTTTAAAGGAGTAATAGGAGTTATTAGAAATTGTTAAAGTCTAAAGACAATATTTATAAATTTTATTAATTTAGTATTATGCATTTGTATTTATTACACAAATGTTATTTTCTTATTAGATATTTTGCAAATAATATGTAGTATAAAATTAATACTGTACAAATTAATAATTATATATTATGTTGCAGGATAAAACAAATGCACAGCATTGAAAATGTCATAATTTTCATATTATTTAATTAATAGTGAGCTTTAAATGATGACTTAGTATGGGTCGTTTCTGATAATGTTTATGCGTTTATCTATATTGAGTAGATAATAATCATATCCATTAACTATTTATATTATACTCTAGATATTTTTTTTTTAGATACAATTATTTTAAATTTTTCTTCTCGTGACTATTTCTAAAATAAAATTAAATCAGGTGTTACTACGGGTAACATCATTGTCATTTATTTTGGTTGTTAAAAATATATCTACATATAAGCACATCAATACTCAAACATAGTTACCTACATTTCGGTATTTTAAAAATAGTCAATAACGCTTTATTCATTATTGAGTATTTAAGTACCCAATAGTACCTTGTACCTATTACTAAAGAATAAAAATATATTCTTACAAAAAGTTATAATAAAAATCCAAGTTAATCATTTCAATTATTTTACCATTATTTATGTTTTGCAAAAACTTAAAATTATATACCTAAAATAAATATTTAAAAAAATTTTGTTTTCTAAAATGAGTGTAATAAGATGGTATATTATAATTTATAAGAAATGTTTTTTAAAAAAAAATAGTTGAAACTAACAAGTTCAGAAAACGCTAATAATAAATATGTAATAAACATAGAGATTAAGAAATTGATGTTTATTCACCCATCACTTTAACGTAGAATTATTTTGTCAAATAAAATGATTTTATTATTTGATTCAAACAATGTAACACAGTAACACATCTATTACAGTGATCTTCTTAATGATGAAGTACGCACAAAACCCACTTATTAAATCTACAACAGAGCGAGTTGCCAGTTTTTTAAAATATTTTTAAATTATACTAAAAATCATGTGATAAAACCTCAGAAAGTTTTCTTATTTATAAAATTTAAAATTATATTGTATACACTAATAATATAGTAATATATAACTTATGTATACGTAGTATGTTATATAATTTATATCATTAATATTATATACCATATGTGTGATGTATAATATATAGTATATAGCATATGTATATAACATATCAATACGTGGAACAGATGGAAAAATTAAAATTTATAATATTGGTTCCTCTTAAAACATTTAAAATGTTATGTAATACGCATTTTTTTTACTATACCTACTAAATTTCTTTTAAAAAAATCCAAAAAAATATAGTCTAATGATATTTACTATTTTTATAAATTCAATCTAAATTGAAATTCTAATTTAGCTAAAAAAAGTAATCTGATATTTATTGCTAGGAAAAATTCCAACTGAAATGTACGACATTGCTGTACGATGAGCGTAACTTTTGCCTGTGTTATCTAAATATGTATAGACATGGACAGTTGGAGAAAACATTTCATGGTATAATATAGTATATTAAATTATTAACACACAATTTTGTAAAAATTTCTAAAGATTAAAATAATATGTTAATGCCTAATGGTAGGTACCTATATAAAACATTATTCAAAATATTAGTGAGTCGACTATCCAAAGCAAGAATAACCTATCGTAATTTTCAAAGTCCATTTTATTTTTAGTGCCAAGCATTAATAAATAATAATATAATATCCAATTTAACTTTAGTAATAAGCTGAAATATTGCACGTTTTATCGCAAACATTTTTTTGTTTTAGTTTATGCGTAGTTGTTAAAAATATTCTATTCCTACATATTCATTTTAATTTGTTCTTATTTCGTATTATTTTACTTTTACAAAACATATATGTAGTATTTCCTTTTTAAAGTGCGTTTATAATTAAATGTTTGGAACAATCATTTTAAAAATTTGATGAAATTTGTCACTAATATTATTTATTCAATAATTCCTTTACCTGTAAAAACTTAACTAAGATTTCTTTTGGCACTATAATAGTGCCCTTTTCACCCATTTGTCCATTTATCTTTATAAGTACTTAATTTTCATAAAATCATGGCGAGTTTTAAACAAAAATTATATATTTATTAATATCAATATGAAATTGAGAGAAAAGAAATTTTATTACAGGAGATATTTTTTGACATTATTTATTTTTATAGCAAATTATAAAAATTTGACATTATTTTAATTAGAGATTTTACTAGATTCCGCTAATATGGAATTATGCACTAAATTTTTCGAATTTAAGCTGCTATAGGCAATACTTTAACTTTGATAAAACACCCACTATAGTTGTAATTCTCTCACAAGGTTTTTCTATATTATCTATTAGAGAGACTGAGATAGTAAATGTTGGTATAATGTCCTTTTAAACAATGTAAATTGAAACGCTCCGCGTACGTACGCGTCCATGTGAAGCGGGCCTCTAGTTAGATTAAATGAGCAAAAGCAAGTCATAGTGTCGAGACTGTACAGGTGGGATGAACCATTAAATAAAATAAAATAAAAGTGATTCATTAGAAAAATTTAAATATTTCTAGAGATAAAGGAAAAAAATTAACATTAAGTTCAACTTTAAACATTACAAAAAACTAAAATGTACTTATCTATTTCTGACTGATTGTAAATTCCAGTTATAACACAATTTTAAAAATTTAATTTTTATAAATACAATGCCAGATGATTTTAAAAAAATAACAATTTCATATCAAAAAATCTTGTATAAACAAATGCATTATTATTTTAATGTTTTGTAATGTAGAATATTCTAGTATTCTGCCGTCGTATAAAAAACTTGATAACTAAAAATTTCTGAAAATAGTTCACAATATTTACGCATAATTGAAGACATAATATTTAATAATATGACTGAGTTATGGTTTATTTCCTTAAAAGAAATATAATTTTAAATTATCTTAATAGATTTTGTGAAAAACTGCATAAGCTATTTAATTCGATACCAAAATACCTTGTTTTTATGTATCAAAGCACTAGTTTTAATTGTAAAAAGTTTATACATAAGTGTAATTTTGTAGATAAACTATAAGATAAATATTGATTACGATTTTCAAATTCATAACTAAAAATACTATAATGATATTCTATTGTGCTATATGCACTAACACGATATATTATTATCGTACCAACATTTACCCAATTCTTATCATTTTTAAATTTATTAATTAAGAAAGGCATTTAGTCAGTAAAATGCTTTTACGGGATAAATCATAAAAATGATCGATTTATGTATACAATAAATTAGTTCCAACATATTTTATACATATTATCATTTATATAATAACGAGGAAAAACGAATGTTATTATAACATTTTCTTGAACGAATCAATTTGTATTTTTAAATTCAATACAAGTGAAAACCAAAATATTTTTTTATACCTATGTGCTTTAGTAAATTGCGTATTAAGTATTAACATGTAAATGTATTAGAAAATTTAATCAATAAGACTTGTACTTTTATTTTTTATAGTACCAATGTATAAAAACATAAATCATGTACAGATTATGAAATGCATGCAACATGATAAACGATCTCCTCTGGAATAAATATGAATATGTTACGGTTAGAGTATTTAAAAATGTTATTTTGTTACAAATTTACTACAAATTTAGTTTAAGTGTTTAATCATAAATTTTCCAGAAAAATCAATGTATATCAATATATCATAGTTCAGTGGAGGGAATTATTGGCTAAATCAATAATTCTCTTACAAATAAAAATGTCTAGCGAAATTAATAAACACTCATGTAAATTTCTCTTAAAATAAAGGTATTAATTAATTTAATACTAAATTGAATTAAACAAATAGATTTTTTTTAATTAATTCTAATGAATTCTTAATATACAAAATAAAATTATTAAACTAAGTTGAACATTAATAATAATATTCAAAATGTAACTTTAACATATTTTTTACGGATATTTTAAACTAAATACCTATAATTTTTATTAAAGATCTTGCTCAATAATCAGATACTAAATCCAATTAATAATATAAGCATTGACATAGGTATATAAATATATTTTTTAACACATTTTGTAATTTTTTATACATTTATGTTACATTTAGAGCTTCATTAGTTCTTAAAACTCAAAATTGTAAAAAGTTAAACTTCGACACATTTTATTAAAGATTATTTTTCTAAAATATTGAATTTATGGTTTGATTAGAATTTACTTAAATGTATTTAATTGTATATATACGATTTCTAAGCTGAATTTATCTATAGACTTTTTTTGCTTACTCATATTAGGTAGACTTTATATAATGCACTATTATTTCTTACAAATTTCTTGGGGTTTAAAATAAATTGTTCTAACGTAAGTAAGTATGCACATAATAATGTAGGTACCCAGTGCCTAATTTAAAGAAAT